CTGCCCTTAAGTCTGGCTCGGTAAACTTGATGCAGCTCGCATCAGGTTTGTGAAGCGTAACCCAGTCGGTTTTCGATACAAGTTGCACCATCTTTCAGAACAAACAGGGTTATTAAGTCCCTCGTCGGGTGATTCATGTCCAAGTTGCCTGGACATCTCGAACCGAGCCCCTAGGGAGGCCTACCTCCCTAATATTTCCTACTGAAGGGCGCGCATCTCTTCTGAGATTGCGGAAGGTATTTTTCCACTTGCAATCCCTGTGCTAGCGTTCGGAGAAATCGTTTTCCGACGGCTCTTCTTTAAACGCAGCGGGTGGGTCTCGTCATTTTGTTTGGCGAGACCCTGAACATCAACGGTCAGCTCGGCGCAAGTCTCCCAGCTGTCCCAGGCCGGTGGATAGCCACGCCAGCAGTTGAGGCAACTCTTTTGGACGCCATTCACGTCGCGGTAGTCCAAAATGCGCTCCAACAGATAGCGTTGACCACCGCCAGAATTTACCAAAGGATGTGGTGGTGGCTGGAACACCTGATCCGGCCCGAGGGTCAGTTCAGCTTGATGTTCGAAAATGAACCGTGTAATGGAACAGTTGCAAAATGACCTGGCTCACGAACGTACTCGGCGTTATGAGCGTCATGACCTTGTAAGGGATTATTACAATTCCTTAGCGCACGATCGTTCAAACGATCGTGCCGAGTTTACGTCCGCGCAACTTTTAAATGAAAGTTCGACTCGTTCTCTTCGTGACGAGCTGACTGGAGCTCGTTAGGACATCGCCCAACTGTGTGAGCAGGTCGCTTCGCTAGTAGACCAGACTGGCACGATAAAACGGGACCACTCGAAGGTGGTCTCGGCGGATAAATGTAAAGGTGGTTCTCGCATCTCGAAACGGGCTCGTACTGATAGTACCGGCGGAGACGTCCAACGTAAAACGTAGGATGCGTATGCATCTTGCGGGGCAGTTCAATTGTGTATGCGTTGCCCATCCGGCGCAACACAAGAAACGGATCGATGTACCTGGGCAGTCATTTACTGCTGCCCACATTTGTCACTGCGTGTTTCGGTAGGTTTACTGTAGACAGTAAAACTAGGTCTCCCTCATAACAATGAAAAATTATTTGCTCTTTCATGTTCGTCTGTGTTTCTTTTCCGCTTGTCGATTACATCTGCAATGCAATCTTGATCGAAGTGGACAACCTCTTCGTGAGTCAGCAGAAATTCCTTTTCGTCCTTGTTATTAGCAGTGCGCTTCGTGTCCACTGCTGAAAGAACTTCGCTTACACCAGTGCGGGTTTCATCGTCCTCATTGTGGCAGTCGTTGGCGATGCTGAATATGCCAGCATCGTCGTCATCATCATCATCGATATCGATCGCATCGGCATCGGCATCCATCACGTCTACACTATTGTCGACGTGTAATATGCAAAGAGTCATATCGTTTTTTGTTCGAGCGAGTCCACTCCCCCCTTAAACTAGAGTCACACTCTAAGAAGGCGGGTCAACGTGGATGGCGTTGGCCATTTACGAAGAACGGTGTATGCGTTGTCGACGCATGCACCGAGTTGTTGATATCAAATTGCGCCATCGGCAAGAAATCACTCTAACTCGTAAACGCGTGGACACACCCTCGAAGTATCTCTTCGAGGACACGGTTGACGCGTTCCGTCTGACCATCTATTTCTGGATAGACAGACGTTGACATCTTCAAACGTGCTACAAGTGAACGGAACACGGATTGCCAAAACAATGCCGTAAAGCGGGGGTCCCTATCAGACAAGAGTTCACGGGGTAACCCGGGAAGGTGGAAGATAGTATCGATGAAGCCACGCGCACAGTCTGGGCTCTGATTGACTCCGTTAAAGCAACAAGATCACCATCTTAATAAACCAATCAACAAACACAAGAATACCAGTATTCTTATAAGCGTCTTTGGGAAACCCGAAGACGAAGTTCATCGATACGGACTGCCAACACTCTGCCGGAATCGGTTGAGGCTGCAAGGGTGCCCGGGATGAAGGACTAGGCTTTACCCGTTGACAAACTTCGCATGCGCGAATAAATTTGCGCACAAACTAATACTGGCGGGGCCAGTAGAAGTCACGACTTGCCGTGAGGTAAGTCTTTTCTCTACCGCGATGCCCACTTGTTGGGGCATCGTGACACTCACATAATGCGCAATCGCAAATCATCATGGGCGGGAACGACGACACGAGGTGTGTCGCCGTTTACTGCAGCATAGTACAGCAGTCCATCACGAACAGAACACCTTTAAATTGAAGAGCGGTATTGAGACGACAAGCTTTTCAAAGCTTGATTTCACGGATTGGATACGTAATCCGTCAATCGCAGAAGACATCATCTTTTGCGTATGCTCTCCGCACATCGTCGAGCAGATTCGACGACGGAACACTCACTGTTAGTGTCGCTACAGTGGGATCACCCCTACTGTTGTGTTGAGCAGTCGGCTCGAAATCGGGCCGACGCGAAAGAGCATCAGCGACGACATTAAGTCGTCCTGGTTTGTAATTGACGGATTCGTTGTACTTAGCGAAGAAAGACACCCACCTCGCCATCCGTTGCGAGAGGTGTGGACTGTTTATGGCCGTGGGTAACGACGCATGGTCGGTATGAACGATGAAGGGCTATCTCCTAAGAGATATACCCGAAACTTAGCCAGTGCACATTTCATGGCAAGGAGTTTCTTTTCATGCACCGGGAAATTTTACTCAGCTGCTTGCAGCTGACGAGATTGATAACAGACGACGCGCTTAACGCCTTCTGAGTCGTACTGCATTAACGCGCAGCCGATTGCAAAATCGATGGCGTTACAGACCACATGAAATGGCCTATTCTGATCTGCAATCGCCAACACAGGCGATTGCACCAAGCTTTTCTTGACGCCTTCAGAAGAGTGCTGACACTCAGCGCTCCATGACCACCTCTCGTTTTTCTTTAACAAACGAGAGAGATGTACGGCCATCTCGGCATAGTTGCGTGAGTGCTCGTGCAAGTACGCCGCCAAGCCAAGGACCTTTCGAAGTCCCTTGACATCGACTGGCACAGGCCAGTCGATAGTCACCTATATTTTTTTCCGGATCAGGGCGTACGCCGTATTTGCCCACGATGCACTTAAGATGTGGTTTCTCGTTCGCTGCGAATAGACACTTCTTGAGGTTCGCGTACAACTTATGCTTTCGCACAAGTGAAAGAACCTTCCGGACGTGGATTCTTTGGATTTTCACGTTCGACTTTCCATCCATAGCCCGGCTATGGACGAAGGCATCATCGAAGTAACTCGGTGCAAAGTCTCGCACTGATTGCAACAGATTTTTAACACATCTGTTAAACGTTTCGGGGGCGTTGCTTAGCCCCTGTGGCATTACTAGCCACTACCAGAGCATACCACTGGGGGTGCTCACTACTGTGTGCGGGATGTCCCGTTCTCGCATGAGGATTTGATAGAATCCATCCATCAAATCCATGGATGAAAAGATGGTACTCTTTGCCATAATATGTATGATGACGTCCTTCCTTGGTATCGGCGTCTGAGCCGGTACCGTTGCAGCGTACAATTTGTTGAGCGCGTGCAATATCCGCCATCCTCCTGCGGCTTTTCGCACAGAGAAAGTCGGAGAGCTGTGAGTAAATGTTACTTCCCTCACATTATTAGCAGCTAAGCGATCGGCAAAGAATTAGTCGATCGCTGTGAACTGTTCACGAGGCAGTGGCCTCTGCTTCATGACAAAGTATTTTTAACCGGTTTTCAGCTCGATCTCATGCCGAGAGTGCCTTTATCCTTTGGCAGCTCGCGTGGCACGGATTCCGGGAAAACATCCCTGAACTCAACCAAATCCTTATACAAAGGATTCGTCTTCAAAGACTCCCAAGATTGAGACGTGTATCGCTCAATCCGGGTCTTCTTTTCGCGGACACTCTCATCCATCGATGAGCTACTGAGAACCCGTTCGCTCTCATCAAACACTTGTGCCGACCGAATATCGGCGACGTACTCGTCCTCTGTGACGAGTAAGCAAATCTGCTTGATCTTGTCACTACGCATCTCTCGCAAGAATCTGTTAGATTCTAGCGTTGGCAACTTGACCACCTCCGAAGCTGACTTCGGGGGCATCACCAGATCAAGTGTATAAGCGCCTACACTTGATCCGTCATTCACCAAGACATTCACTGTCTCGGTAATTTCCTGGGAAACACATCCGCAGATGGTTGGGGATCCACACCCTCAACATAACCATCTCGGGAGTTATCTTTCTCAGGAATGCTGAAATTTTCTTTCATTGCGTGCACTATCACGGTCACATCCTCTTCGATCGACTCTCTTTTAGTCGAGCGGGCTTGCTCTACGATCGACTCTCTGTGAGTCGATCTCGCTTCAACGTGTTGTTTATCCTGAACAACACTCATCTTTCTACTTGGATGCACCCTTCTTAGTGTGCATTCGTGTTCTAGTCCACACGATCTCTTCGAGTGGTGAGCCTTCGGCGCAGCCTGTTTCTCTACACAGGTGCCGGAAGCTGGTTCCACAGTGTAGTGGCCTTCTACACTGTAATCTTGTGCAATCGTACTAACGACCGTACTACAAGTGAGGCCATCTCACTAACTCGTAGTACATCCACACGCTTGTGGACACTCCAAGACGTTCATCATATGGCCATCTGACGAGAAAACGGCAGGCATTTCACGAATCGATGCTGCCAGCTAACTCATGGCCGGTGCCTTCTAATTCATTGCAGACAGAGGATGACATCAAGTTTGTCATCCAAAGCTAATGCGAAAAAGTCATCATCGTACTGCTTCCATTCCAGCGTGTAGTGGATTTCTACTACACGTTTGCTCATTTTTACAGATGCGCCTGTAGAAAGGCACACCGTCATCCTTGTTGGAGGGAACTCTCGCTCAACAAAGTCGAGCCTACTATCCCCTAGCAACTGGCGTCTAATAAAACTGTTCGACGCCCCACAGTCAACTAGGGCACGAAGTGATATTCAACGTGTCACTTCGATCTTCGAAGTGATGAGAGACTCCTCATCACTAGGGGCAGTAACACACAGCGCCTGTGTGTTGGGAGCAATCTTCGTCAAGAGTCCTGCGAGTTCTCTTGACGTTGCTGAATCAGCAGGGAGCTCCGCCCCTACTGATCCCGACCGTTTTTGGCGGTCCGACTTGCTGTCGCGGCTTACCGACATGGTCAGACCCACGCCTTGGACCTTTAATTGGCCAATGGTGGTCATCACGTCCTCTCTTTGGACGTGTTGCGGTGCTCGAGACACTAAACTCATGAGCGTAGTGTCCAATCTTCGGATAGCGATGGCATCTTGCCGTTCGCTTGTGACTCAGAGAGCAATTTATCTCGCTCTAGATGTAACAGAGGTCCATTGGTTCGGGACCTCCGGTTTTCTGTCGTCTCGTCGGACGATAGTTGGACGAATTAGCCTGAGACTGTCTCAGGCTGAAGTCTTCTGGTTCCGCATACGCTATCGCCTTTTCCAGCGTATGGAAGCCCATTCGAAACATGTAGGTCTTCAACAGCCCATCCACAAGGCCGTAGATGAACACGTTGTTGAGCGTGTGCTCATCAACAGGGTTCTCCGAAACGCTACTCGCAAGGTAGCGCAGGTGTTGAGTGTAAGCATGCACATCACGCTTACCTTGGTTGACCCTCAAGCGTGCATAGCGCGCTCTAGACTCGGCTCTCGGTGGCTCAAACGTGCCTTTGAGCCGAGACTTCAAAATTCCTAACGATTCAAACACGTTTAAGTCGTGAAGCTTAAGCCCTAAGGCCCAAGTCTTTGCTCTTCCTGTCAAATTTGACAGGGCGAAATTGGCTTGCATCTCGTCCCCCTCGATGTGTCGGGCCCTGATGGCGTCGTCTAACTCGACGAATCTTCATCCGTTCCCTTATACCTTGAGATGTCTATCTTTTAGGTTTCGGGTCGACGCATGTGCGTCGGCCCGCTTATCGACTGATGAGAGCCTTGCTGTTGTACCAAGGCTGTCTTCTATCTTCCGACGGCAAGTTCCCTTTGTATGAGATTTTTAATAGCAGCATGGTGCTGGTCTCTGCTTAGAGACCCCAATATGCCACTGAGGGTGGGTTTGCCCATGGGCACATTCTTGCGGTCGACTACCTCCCATTCTGAGTCACTCAGATGGGAGTAGCCTTCACGTTTGAAGTGAAAGCTGAAATCTTCTACGTCCAACATGTTCATGTTGGACGGACGCTAAGTAGTCGTTAGACGGACTACAAAGTGCAACCAGGCGTAATAAGGCACCCTTTGTTTGGGTGCCATGAAACTTCAAGTACGCTAGTACGTGCAGAGGAAGCTAATCTACTCAACGACTAATCTGAGTAAAGGGTAAAAATAGAACTGTGTTTGATGTAGTTAAGCTATCAATATCACCTCAGTCTTTATCTAGCTATATTGATCTGTATTGTCGTATGACGACAACTGCTCACCACTCACTAAGCGCGTCTAGCAGCGATTGGTGGTAAACTTGGTTATATGTCTTTATCAACCGATCTTTGAGAAGCGCATGTATACTATCCTATGAGGGAATACTTTTCCTTCAATATTGTCTATCTCGGATAATATTGGTAGGAAATTGTCACGCTTGACAATCTCCCTGTTGACACCGTTTGGTGTCAATATTACGTAACGGGCCACCCCGCTACGGGGACACCAAGACGATAGTTGGACGACACTGCAGGAGTGAATCACCATCCCATGATTCCATTTCCAGTAGCACGCGTCGTGCTGAGGTTTGTTCTGTCAGCTGAAAGTTATTGTAGGTTCATGCCAGCGTTCACTGGCACCCTCTACAACTCCATCCCTTTGCAAGTCGTCGTCCGATCTGACATCGCTACGTTTCTAGCTAGACCATACAACTCGGAGCGAGTACTCCTCGATGACTTCATAATGCTACACAATTTGTCACAGCTTTTCTTGATTCTGCTTGCAGTGTGAAGCCAAAAGCAGGAAGAGCGGGATTTGTACTACTGGTCCAGCAGCTTCCATGACTCCCACTGCAAGAATATTGGTTGTTTCTAGTCCACACTAGAAACAGTGGACTTTGACGGCGGTTTTGAACTGGTTATTTTGTGTGTCCACACCAAACCAAGTTCGGTGGATCTTAGTGGTACAAAATTGGTACCACGTACTTACGGTGTTATCGCACCTAATCGGGTAGAGATAAGGGTTGAGACTTCTGTCATAGGATCGCAATAAAGAAATTAGTCCGACAAGGTGTTAGGTTATATTACTGTAGTTAAAGAATAAATAAAGTTCAATCTTCCTTTTGAATCGTTGGACAAAAGTCTATAGTAAAAGCGTTGTGTGCTGTTAGAGCATAAGCCTTGTAAAGGCGCTCACTCTTGTTTTAATAGTAATGAATAGTTAGTGTGTTATTCTGTGAATCTTTATTCCTTAAAAACCGTAATTGTTGAGCTTGTACGCCTGAACGACTGAACGTCGTTGTTAGTTTGTTGCAACTATGAAACTCTTTAAGTCTAATAATTCATAGTTAAGGAGCGCCAAGTAGATCTGCTTCACTTAGCAGCACTTTGTCAAATTGTACCTGAGTCTTCACAGACTGAATCCTCTGCGACGATGAAACCGGTCATGAACCTTTCTGAGGCCCAGCAAATCACGCTTGAGAAGCTCAAGGCGTTAATAGGACCCGATCAAATGGATCTTTTAGTGTCGCAAGGCCCGGCAGTACTTTATTTAAGTCTCGAGACCTTCTCGACCTTTGGATCCACTTTGATCGGACAAGTTCATGACTATTTGGCATCTGCAATGCCCATTCGGTATGTACCACTACCGTACACTGAGTTAAGGACTTGACTTGACCTATGGTCTTTATTTTATAATTTTGAGGGAAAGAGATTTAAAATTTCCTTTTGTAGTTGTAAGAGATGGAGGTTGCTATCAGCTCGTCCCTGCTGCGGAAAAAATAGCAAAAGGTGGGCCTGGCTCTAATGAAGTTAGGTCGGCGAGCCAGGAGGTGGACTTTCACTCTTGGCACCTCGATAGCCGAGGCTTTTCCCACCCGGAAAATGCTAAAAAAACATATATATCGGGTGTTTGCCCCGCCTAAAAAATCATATCGCGTGCGATCACTCTTCCTGTTTACCCGCGTGGAAAAAAGAACTTAGTCAATTACGTCCAAAAGTTGCGAACTCTCAATGCTTCTATGCAACTTGCGCCATTAACTGATCCGTTTTTAATAACCACTTTCATAAAGGGTCTGCGCACTGATGTTGCCAGAACAGAAGTGTTCCATGCACAACCCTTGACATTTGAGGGTGCAGTGGAACAAGCGTTGAACGCAGAGTTCAACTTATAAGCTGCCTGTTATGGGACTCATGGGTTCCGATCAAACTCGTCGAGAACTACTCATTTGGTGGATAGGGCGGAGCCCATGGACCTTTAATCTCGCTGAGGAGACAAAGAATTTGAGCTCTTTGCTGTCGAACAGGTTTCGAACTCCCGTAGATTTTTTACGTGCAGAAGCATTAAACACCTTCGCCGCAATTTTCCTTTGTGAAGGACCAGACAGGCTCATTCGATCCGATCTCTCATTGCTAACGAACGAGTTGGCAAGGCGAGGAAAAACTTCGAGCCCCAGTAGGCGCGGGGCGTCCTGCTGGGGATGATTTAAGCTCTGTTGTACCTCCGGGAGTTGATAGAGAATCAGGCCTATCCCCAAGTGGCTTCGTGAGCAATGTCACGAAGCATGAGTACAAGTCAGGCTTATTGATTGCAAAAGCAACGGTGAAAGGCTTTCATAAGCCATGTTCGATATCGATCGACTCCGGGGCGTCGGTAAATTACGTCCGACTGCAATCCCGAAGGATTACGTGATCTTGTAGCGGTGCGATGCAACTGTTCACATTCAGCGGATCGGGCAGATAGAGAGTACTGCGCCTCTTTATTTCTACCTACATGCGCCACCTGCTTGAGTGCCCTACTCAGTTTCTCTTTGACGTGAAGGCGTATCTTCTTATACTGCAATTTTCGGTCCTTACCCTTTCGAAGGCTGTCAAATGGCTGATCACATTCCGCCACTAACCGATTTACCCGCGTTCTTCATCTGCTTGCGGATCCCGGAAATCTCGCGATCGGCTTTCTCCGGTGCGACGTGACGTGCCCACTCAGTACGGAGAATCTCTGCTTTCTGATGTGCGATCACTGCAGTCTGAATAACCCGGTCGGCCAACGCCTCCCGGAAAGCGTCAGACCGCCTTACCTCCTCTTCGTATCGAACTCGCATGCGACCGTACTTGGATCGTCCAAACTTCACGAAATGAGACGCTAAAGTACGAAGCTCATGGGGATCCTCCTGCAGCTGACAATTCTGGACCATCTGATGCGCCAAGGCAAACTTCACACTCTGTTATTGATCCACGAAAGTTTGCTGGAGGTCCAGACGATGAAAGACCGAGTCGACAGCGGCGTCCAGCGTCGCTCGATCAACCAAGCTCGACGATTCGATCCGGGATTCTTGCAAGCAAGATAGGATCACTAAGGTCCGAGATTGGGACGCTATCGCTGACCAAGGCTACGTCCGGAGTGAGGATCAAAGGTGGTGATAGAGATACCTTGATCCTGAGGTTGGCGAAGGAGCATAATTCGAAGAGACGCGATCAACCATCGGGATGGCGGACGTGAAAGTGAAAAGTTGGAACAATTCAAAAAGGTTGCACAGCCAGATCATCATTATATATGTTGACTAACGGTGTCGTTCGTAGCAAAGCGGTCACAAGGAAATGTACGGTTCAGTTTGAGTGGGGGGTCGGGCGAATCGCACACCTCAGCTCGGTACGAAGCGTTTTGATTGGTGGACACAAACTGGGACGGGTGGATAGAAATAGCGCACATAACTATAGTAAGCAGGATCTTGTCACTTGGGACAAGGCTAGATGACAGTTCGACCAGTTTGATTGCGTGATTCATCGTGAGACAGGGCAAGGGAAGATTCGTGATCCCTAACCTAGGGATCAAGAACCTAGCTTAGGATCACGATCCGGACCTGGGATCACGATCCGAGGTAAATTGGTGGTGATATGTCGGGTGGACCACTAGAAGATTCAACTGCCAATACACATGATGTGGACCACACCAATACAATAGGACGATCATCCTAAAACAGGGACGCGTGGCATCCAGTTAGTATACACATAAGGCATAGGGGTAGGCTTTAGGTTGATTGGTTAGCTTTAAAGTGCTTTAAGGATTCTCAGGAAACTACAACTGCGATCGGACGCAGCAAGACACGTAAAGGAAAGGCACAAGATCGCGAGACGGCTCAAGTGGTCATAAGTCTCGCGTATCAAGAACTCACACAGTGGTCAAGGCGATCTCGTTGAGATCAGGGTTACTTATTTAAGAAACCTTACCGATACCCCAGTGATCGCGCCAAGATTTCCGCCCGATCACACAATCAACGTCGAGATGATGCTTGTGTCCTAAGAAGGAAGTTCGGAGACATTAGAAGGCGACATCGAAAGTTACGATTCCTGTGAGTACACGCTCCAATTTGCATTTGTACCGTACTCGCACAACTACGCTGGGGATACCAGAAGTCACTCTGGGCGTCGTCTGTAGTCAAAGCAAGGCCGGTACTGAAATAGATGGGCACAGTATTTTGAGCATGATGTTGCATTCAACGATAGAGTATCTGTGCCAGTGTGTTGTGGTGAAGCCGATCTCACAAAATCACTTTAGTGAGTGTCGATCTTCCACTTGCCCAGAATTGCCGACTCACGGAGGAAGTACTCCGATCCGTGCCTTGCTGTATAACCTTGTGCTCACCTTGTGTACCCGTCGGTTGGGCTGGCTTGAGCTCTTCGTAACGGCCTTGGAGGATGTCAATCTCGCTGAGAGGTTGGGTTGAGAGTTCGCTTCCGTGCGGAAATCTTCACACCACAAACAGGGGTTCTGCGATCTTGATCTCGAGTCGCGGCAATCTCTAGTTAAAGATGTCGTGATCTCGATCTTGAATCGCACCGATATCGATTTGTCTTCGGGATCGGGGTCTTTGTTGGGCGGAAATCTTCACTCAGCAAATAATAGCCTTGCGTCGATCTTGCCTTGGGATCGGTCCGATCTGGTCTTGGGATAGTCCGATCTTGCTGGAAGTGCGCATTTGGGCAGATCGGTCCTTGGTATCGCCAAAATGAAACACGCCGATCTGTCCAGTGGATCGCTTTGATCTTGCTCGGTCTTGTCTTGAACGCCTTGTCCAGATCTTCTGACCACTTGAGCCGTCTCGCGATCTTGTGTCCAAAATCCTTTTCCTTTGTTGCAGCTACCCTAGCAGTTGAGTTGAGATTGAGTACTTGATCGATCCGGGCCAAACTTCCCGAGATCGCTCTTCCCGATCTTGGCAAACAATCCGAGATCGGTCTTTTGTGTCCCTGTAACAAGCGTGCCTTGACTTGCTGGGGAAGCCAACTCAATCTTGCCCGGAGAAGTGGGGAGGAGAACGTGCGTCGTGAGCAGAAGAAGTAGAGTTCAAGTCTGTTTATTAACCTACCAAATTAATAGTCAACCTATCTTTGAGCCTATTCTCAACTATAGGTCACTCTCCAAGTTGATGTTACCTTTAAGCTTGACCGCCCCCTTGAACACGTGTCGAAAAGTCATGACCTGAACTCCAAAGATAGCGCCAATATCTTCGATATCGTACCAAAACGCCAAAAGAAGACCAAATCCCAAATGTGGTACCAAAAATCCATTTTGGTACCCAAAAGCCCGAAATAGTGCCCAAATGCCGAATGTGTCTAAATCCATGTTGCGACGTCAATTTAACCGGCTTCCACTGGCTCTTTCGGTCTGAACTTTTGATACATCACTCATGGACCTTCAACAAGCATGTTTGTCATGATCCAAAATTCTCATCAACGATTTATCCATTACCAGTGGGGAACATGATTATTCTGATGTCCAATTCGAGATTGTTGAGGATCCACACAGTACAATCCGGCCAAATCTGTTCTTCCGTTCACTGTATGTACTTCGATGCCTTTCTCAGAAAGGTTCTGCTTCAACATCCACATCCCTGCCTTTGATCAGTCTTCAGAGCGGTCTTTTGGTCCAATCCAGTTCCTCGCACCAGATCGCACCGCGGAAATCACCCCTTTCTACGCCCCGTCTCAAATCATGTCGCATCGCCTGGTCCCAGGCATCATTTTCCGCCAGTGGGTGACGTCTTCACTGGGTGGAAACCGATCCACGTCCCAACATTTGATTAGTGACTTTATTACAGTGTTGCAATCGAGTAGTACTAGTTAACAGCATTCGTCTAGCGACAAGTGCCTTGACGCAAACGTTGACCGTCAATGAGGGCACATGCACTACATTATCAAGTTTTGTGGATTAAAAAATGCGCTGTACTGCTCCAGCGACAATACGTAGGTTTATATGTATTTGACGTTACGGGGTTTTATTATATGCATCCTGCGTTACTATGCGCTCACCAAGTTGTTCACAGCTCCTGTTACCTTTGTTTAACCCCAGATTTTGGTGGTCGCAATTGTTGCAAGCTTGTAGGGTGAATGTACTTGGGCAACGGTCGCTAGTCGAATTCACTTAACTCTGTCTCAAGGTCAACGTGTATTGTAATTATCTGAGCTGGAATCGTTGCGAGCCTTGTCGTGGCTAGACTATATTAGTTGACAAATCGATCCTGCATCCACCAGTAAGCAGTGTGTTACGTTTGCAGAGCAATTTTATTCTTTAAATGTAATTGTAAGGTAAAGGAATCTTGTTTATCCTCACAGCATACTTGATAATTTCTTTATGTAAATACTCATTTAAAACGAATACACCCAGTTTCAGGTATTAACTTAAAAATTTCAGGATTGTAGTCTTTGTGAGGCTTCAATTTAAGTGTACATATTAGTTCTTAAACTTCTAGTCCTGGTTCAGAAGACCACGACTTCAGGGAATCACGTGGTCCTAATTCCCGAGAGAGCTTTACCTTAGCTCTGTTGCAACCTCTCTAGCGCTGAGCTTTCAGCTAGTTGTGCGTTCCTGATGACACCAGATGTATACACCTTGACACACAATGATATACATTACTTAGCTCAGCTTTTCTGGCTTAAGACGACTTGCCTGGCACTTTGCACTTTTTTTACTGAGCTATTCCTGCACGCGGTTGCAGCTGACCTGCTAACCGTTACCTTAGTCTGTCGACCCGTCTTATTCTGATATCCGTCGTCTCCCTTATCCCTTGTTTCAACCGACGGACTGTAAGCGTTCTTTAGACGTTCCAACGGCTTCAAGCTTAGAACATATTACAACACGCCCCCCTTCCGACGCTTGCATAGAAACACCTTGACTCATATGAAGCTCTCATGCCAATCGCGGCTCGATACTTTGAAAGACTGCGCTTTGGTAAGCCTTCGTAAACATTGCGGCAGGGTTATCTGTTCCGGAAACTTTCTTCATCATGATGTTTCCAGCTTTAATCTGTTCGCGCACATAATGCCATGTTAACTCAATGTGTCTTGTCTTGCGGCTATTTGTTTGTTTGCAGGCCAACGAAACAGCTGCCGAGTTTTCAATTCCCATTGTTATCACAGTACGTGCCTGCAGACTTTCTAAAATTTCATTGATCAAGTTCGCGATTCCACGGGTTTTCCATTGATGCTTCGCAGGCTTCAACATATTCAGCCTATGCGGTTGATTGTGCGACGATTGTTTGACGTCTGGCGGTCCATGCTGCAGCACCAGACTCCATCAGAAGCACAAATCTGGTAACATTTTATCTTGAGTCGGGATCGTTTCCCCAGTCAGCATCGCAATATCCAGCGATTACAACAATATCGTTTGTTTTTATGGCTTTTGCGTATGTAATAACGGCCTGTCGTGTACCAGACAGGTATCTCAACACTCGCTTGACTGCTCCGCAGTGTTTTCGCGACGGGTTGCTTACAAAACGGCTTAAATAGCCCACAGCATACGATATATCGGGCCTTGTACTAGTCGCCAAGTATATTAATGATCCAGTAGTTCCTCGATAATTAAATTTAGTGCAGTCACCTTCTGGTGGCTCAATTTTCATACTGTATTTAGCGTTGGTATCCATAGGATTTGCACTTTCGTGCGCTTCGCCAAATCCATATTTCTCGAGCACCTCTTTGCAATTTTTTTAGTGAATGTAAGTCTCCATGTTACCTTGCTCGACATTAATGCCTAGAAAGTAGTGTAGCTTTCCTCCATCTTTAAATCCAAATTTTGTATTGATCACGTCGAAAAGCGATGTCTTACATTCCTTTAAGTCGGTCGCCAAGACCACATCGTCGATTTATATCGTGAAAAGAGCTATCACTCCATGCTTGTAGTAGACGTAAAGACACGGCTCGATCTCACTTCTTTTAAAATCTTGTGTGACCAACAATTGATCAATTTCTTCATTCCATTTGGCTCCTGATTGATGCAATCCATAGAGTGCTCTATCCACGCAGTAAATTGCTCCTTTACGTTGCGAAAGTCCTGGTACACTTCGAACAT